CCCTGGTGCCTATCTATGAGGTGAGGCTTTTTTGCTCTTCCTAAATTAAAATGAATATACTGAGTTTAAACAACATTTCATCCATTTAAATCCATTTCATAATGTAATTTCTGAACAGAGGTATCTGAAGGAGTATAAGCAGTACACTCTGCATGTAAATGTTTTTAAAAGATCTAAGAACGTTATATATAGAAAGAGGAAAGTATAAAAACCCCAGAAAGAGACATGCCCACTTGGAAGAGAGCTGTCTCTGCAAGGGGCTGCACTTTGATGTTTCATGGGCCTACGTAGGTGTGCGAATGCAAGTCTGCACATAGGTGCTGAGGGCTGAGCTCAGGAGCGCACACGTGGTAAGCACGTGCTCTACCACTGAGTGCGCTGTCAGCCCCTCTCCTGTTTTCTTTTTCCTTTTTTTTTTTTTTTTTGATTTTTGAGACAGGGTCTCACTATGAAGTTCAGGCTGGCCTTGAACTCACTATGTAGCCCAGGCTAGCCTCAAACTCATGGTGATCCTCCTGCTTCAGCCTCCTAAGTACCAGGGTCACAGGTTACCACACCTAGCTTGTGTTTTCTTTTTTAAAGAAAGAAGTCAAAACCAATAAAACATCAACAACACTGTTAGGTGCACAGATGCAGTTTATGGTTTGCATTTTAAATAGTTCCAAAATTACAATTTGAAATAAAAATGGCAAAGAAGAATAAAGAGTAAGTGGAATCATGCCTATCTATTCAGCTGTCAATCTGTTTTCAAAGTTATTATTTCTGAATATTTGAGAGGGAACTGTCTTACACTTTTCACAATATGCAGTTCTAACTCAAAAATGAATCCAGTTTGTAAGCTGTCATTTATCTCTGATTGTTAAGCATCATAAAAACCTGACTCTGATGCGTGCTTTTTTCCTATCGCACAGGAACAAGTGGGGAAGGAAGCTTTGCATCACAGAGATGCATGGTGTGGGCCAGGACAGGAGGGCCTCAGGACACACTTTGGGAGTGCATGTTCCCAGAAACACATGAGTTCCTTGGGAACACTAGGGCTGCCAACAATCTGGGAAAATCTGGACCCTAGAGCTGACAGCTCCTCCCCTCAGCTCCCTCAGAGCGGCATCAAGGCGCTGAGTCTTGTGCAGAGAACTAAACAGAGAGGAGAAGACACCAGACGGAGGTCTCCAGGCTGAGCTTCTTCCAGAGGAGGAGCAGTGTCCTTTCACTGCCGTCCCCAGGGTGACGGAAGTCCCAGCGCTGCAGCAGAGCCAGCAGTAGGACGTGCCCCCGCTCTGTGACCCAGCTCACAATCCATCTGGGGGTCCTCTGGGGTCGGGGCACAGCAGCCGTGAAGACTGAGGTGCCGCAATGCTCCAGCAGCCTTGGAAGTGGCTGCGAGCTGCCTGCCAGGCCAGGCAAAGGCAGCTACCAGAAGAAAGGAAAGCTCCATTCCCTCCCTGAAGGGTGGGGAGAAGAAACTACTGACGGTTCAAAGACGTCAGGCTTCGGGGCTGGGGATTTAGCTCAGCGGCATAAGCGCCTGCCTTGCAAGCAGGCAGTCGTGAGTTCGATCCCTGGTACCAGTAAAAAGGAAAAAGACAAAAAAATAAAATAAAAAAAAAGAAGTCAGGCTTCTACTGGATGAAGTATTCTCTGAGCCTGGGGGATAAAATGCACATGAGATTTTCATGTTTGCTATAAGCACAGTTTTACAAGACCAAATAACTAATAAGAAGTCTCTTCTATAATGTGGTCCTTCATCGCTAAATCATTCCCACTGCCTGTGACCTTAGACACCTCTGTCAGTCAGCTGTCCACTGCTCGGACAACACCTGACTCCTGCAACTCAGAGCACGGCAGTTTAATTCAGATCTGAGACTCAAAGCCATGGTCGCCTGGCTCCACGGTGGGGATGTCACGCAGAAGGCACAGGGACGGCCAGGCACAGGGACCTTCAGCAAGAGACTCGCTCACTGCACCTCCCAATAGCACACGGAGCCTGAGCATCAGGGCTTCAGCCAAGGGGATCTCCCAGACTCTCTTAATCCAGTTAAACCCACACCGCAGATGAACTGGCATGCATCCACTCACATCTCCCTCTTAAACCATTCCAAATCCTTACACACACACAATACAAAGGTCATCATTTTGCCTAGTGTAACTACTCTACATACTGAAAATGTAGTAATTCCTTCCCCAAAGTCTCAACTATCCCAGTACTGCTAAGAAGTCCAAGTCCAAAGTCTCTTCTAAAACCCAACACAACTTTCAGCTGTGAATTCTTACAAAATTTGAAAAACAAGTTCCTAACGCCAAGGTTCAGTGGCACAGGGTAGCAGTTCCCATTCTGAAAATAAAGGTCACCGGGCACGGCATGTACTAGGAGCAGAAGGCTCGCCAGAGCCCGCGCTGCCCGCCTGGAGGGTGCTGCTGCTGTTGAAGCACCTCTCACGTCACACAGCTACTCTTCAATGCTCCGCTCACGGGGCCACCAGAAGGGTACCTCTGCTTTCCTTTCAGTGCTTTCTCTACCAGACGCATAAACTACTAAGTCTACATTCCTTCTTACTTAAATTAGAGTCAGTTTTAATGGGATCTAGTTATTTCCCTCCCACTAGTTTAAAGTTTTGGTGAAACCCGCCCCCCCACTTACTTAGCTTCTTCTTTCCTTATCTCCTTTATCAACCATTAATTTCCCCACATGAACCCAAAACTTGTCAAAGCAATTGTGAAATTAAGCCACAGAATTAAACAAAAATACCTATGTCTATTTACTTTAAAAATTCCCTGCAAACTCAAAATATACAGGTAAGCAGGAAGGGAAGAATCATATTCAAAGCTTGGCACAGGTGTGTGTCCACAGTGCCATCTGATGTGACATTTCTCCAAAAGGAGGGCCCTGGTGGCCCTCAGGGCTTCTTCAGTTTGGTCTGCTGCAAAACTATGACTGCCCTTCTGTGTCTTAGCATTTGGTGGAACGGAAATGCCAAGGGAAAAGAGAGTAAAATAAGCTGAAGAGCTGACCAAGGACACAGGACAGTGGCATTACTAACTGGGTCTATGGAAGTGTAAAAATGGCCTGCTAAAAACAAAGGTAACTGCCACCTCTGGGCTTATTACTCCGGCATATCTTTTCTGATATGGTTTATAAACATGATTTAACATGCAGAGCTATTACCTGCTGATCTATCACCCTTCATGTACTCTAAACAAGGAACTGAAAGTGTGGTTTGCTTCCTCTGTGCATTTCTTAAATCTGCATGGTGCTTAGACACCACTCAGTCTCCCATTGGTCTTGGCCGTGCGAGGGAAACCCATGCTCCAGCAGTACAGGCTGTTCAGGTGCAATTTACACAGCAAAACAGATACAGCAATTTCCTTCCCTTCTTTACCTCAGAAATATCTGTGTAATACAGCTTAAGTTACAAAGTTATAGTTCTACCTCTAGTTCTGAGGCAAATGCTTAAGTTCTCCAAAGACTCAACCAGAAGTACTTTTCTCTCGAATACTCATGTGTAGTAACAAACTCTGGCGCTTCCTTAAAGACCACCAGCTTTATCAGCCACCAGTTATAGGCTGTGCAGTTCACTGGGAGAACCTGACCCTTGTGCACTGAGCGCTGCACCCCAGCAGGGCCAGGAGTCACTCCTGCACATTCTCCTGCCCGCCCTGCCACCAGTCTCCATCCTGGAGGCTAATTACACTGCCTTTGTTCTAGAATAGGACAGAAAAAAGCAAAAGCAGTTGTAAGCATTTCTTGGCGTATCAGGCACAGTGCAAGGCTAGTAGGCATCTATTGTTCTATTGTAATGTCTGTATGTCAGCTTGTGAGATGTGAGGAGAAAGAGTCACAGATCCCACAGCTGAGACACCTCCAGTGACCAGTGCTGTCTACCAGGGTACACGCTGGCACACACTCCTGCACACCACTGCACGCAGCCCGAGAGACTGCTCTGTGACTAGGTCCAAGGGAGCACTCATCCCTAAACACTGCCTTCAGGGTTCACATTCATGGTCTTCTCTCCCTCCACTACCTCCTCTGCAGCTCCTTAGAGAACTAAAGCCATAAAAGAGGTAAAAAGCCTACATAGAAGTCTCAAACTTGTCTGTTTTATGGCTTAATTCTCCACCCAAGAGGATCTAGCAGCAGGTGACTGCTATAGCCAGCCCAGGAAGTGCAGAATCCTTCCCTAAAAAGTGTACACAACTGTCACTCCTGGAGACAGCATTCTTCTCTAAGCTTCACTACCTGTATTATTACCCTTTGCAAAATAGGAAGTCTCAACGTATAAGCATTTCTTGGAGTATTAGGCATAGTGAGTCTGTCTTTTACACCTTCTCCCCCGGTATGGAGGATAAGAACTGGGCCTCCAGATGCTCAGCAAGGGCTTGTTTTTCATTGTGATTTAAACTACAATACTTGCCTCTGAGACTATCAAATCTGACTTTCAACAACCCAGAAATAATTGGGTGTGAACTCACACCAATTATTCAAAATGTGGACCTTACCATCCACTTGCCTTAGCTTTTAAAAGAGAACCTATGAGGTCTAACGAGTTATCAGCTCAGGACAGAGGCCAAACTGCCACTAAGTTTACCAAACCCAAGTTCTACCCTACCCCCTTCCTCCCTCCCCTGGCAAGACAAAAACAGGCCCTCCTGAGTGCTTTATCACATAATGCTCTCAGATCTGTCCTACACAATTGTTCATTTCCCCCTCCATTCTGCCCACAAGAGTGTAGTTTAGAAACTACTTAGTTCTGAATATCCCACAAAACAAAAATAACAATACTAAAGGCATCTACTCTAGATATTCTGTAAGACATCTGTGTAAACAACTCTGGTATTCTGAAAGATCAATCTTAAAGATACCCAAAATGCATTCACAGGCTTGCCTGCCTGCCTCTGATCCCATTCCCTGCAGCAGGCAGCTGCCTCTCCTCCCCTCGAAGTGCGATTCAGGACAGCAAGAGAGTGCACTTAAGCAAGAGGAAGCCACAGAACATTCGACTTACCTCGACGAACATATAGAGAGACAGTAAAGTGAGTCCAAGGTTATACACCACTAAAATTCCTCGGCAAGAGAATGGCTGTTTATTCTTCATGTATTTTGGTCCCAGCCATACGATTAATAAATAAATGACAGAGGAGACCAATGTAGGTATGTAATTGTCTAGAAGAAACCATCCTTTTACTCTAGTATCTGAAAAACAACAAAAGAAAAAGTTATTAATAAGGTAGATAAATAACAAGTTTTAAGACACTAAAAATTTCTCTAACCATGATTTATAAAGCCACCTGGCATTTATACATGCATATACACGTATGCGTGCTCTTCATACACACAGACTTTTTTTCTTCCAGTGCTGAGGATTGAACCTCAGGCCTTGCATTTGCCAGGCAATAACTCTGCCACTAAGCTATATCCCCAAGCCAACCCCGATAAAGCAGATGCCAAGGCATAAATTTTCACAATCAAATGTGAAGCCCTTGGCTATATATTTTGAATAGTAATGTCTACTACTTATGGTTTTTGTTCAGTAAAATAATCAACTGTGCTTTCCACAATAGCTAAAAGAAAACAAAGAGCAAGTGGAGTTTCTCACTAGCTGGAGTTACTTATAGTTAGCTGGATAGCTACTTATCACTAGCTGGATTTACTGATACACAGGGTCACGAAATCCATGACGTGGTACTTGTGAACTCTTCGGTCCTCCACATCAGCTGAGTACCCCCGAGGAAGCCCAGCATGTGCAGACTCAGACCAGGCTAGTGACACTGTCCCTGGCCACAAAGCAGCATCTGCTAGGAGCAAGTGGTCAGCAGCAAGGAGACAGTGACTGGCAACAACAGATGACATGCTGGCATAGTGGCCATAGTCACACTCAGACTGGTCAAGGGACGGTATGGGGAGGAACTTGGGCAAGAAGCCCTGTGCTGAGCCAGGGGACCTCCTGGGGCAAGAGAGGTCTTTCCTCCCAGACCCTCCCAGGCTGGGACAAGGAAGGAAGGGAAACAGGCCCTAGGGCCCCCACCAGCAAAGGGACAGCCCTCCTCTCAGATGACTGACAGTGCTCGGCTGCATCCTGGGCTGCCCAGAGAGAGGAGTCTTTCCACGTTCCCCTGGCACCCTACTGCAGTGATGCCCCAGACCAGCAGAGCCCTAATCTTTGCTTTCTGGTACCGGGAACTGAACTTGTGACCTCGCGCCTGCTAGGTAGGCAGTGAGCTGGATCCCCAATCCCACTGCCCCAGTCTCATCCACCCACTAAGCTCCAGAGCTCAAAGCTCAGATTTACACCTTGCTTCTTCAGAGCAGCAGCAGCTAACTGGCAGTTTTGCCCTCTGGCTCCCCAGGGGCACTATCTTCCTCTCTCCATCACACTCAATCTCCCCCTTGACTCAGAGAGGGTCCTGGGCACTCTCTCTGCTCACAAGGCGGGCAGCAGAGGGCGCTCCTGTTAGTGCTGCATGACCGACCTCTTCCAGGAAGGGGCTGGCCCCAGAGACCCTGTGGCAGGGACTGGCGCCTCTGCTCTCAGCTCAGGCCTTGGTATCACTTTTGAGAAAACAAGTTCCCACTTGCAAACATTAGACATTACATCTTTTATGTGTGTAAATAAAAATAAATATATACCAACAGATTCTCCACTTGCTTTTTCTCAAAGCTCTGTTTTGCACCTTGCTGTTTCATTTTCTCCTAGGTCTTTCTGTGCCTGCATATCACCGATGCTGCACCTCCTCCGCCCTGCTGCATGCTTCCAGGGCGGCAGACCCTCAGGGACCTGGCTGACCCTGCTGCTCAGTGCCTCTCTGGCGGCTAGGGCTTTCTGAAAGACAGGGCTGTGAAGCAATAGCAGCCACCGCGCTTCACGAGGTCCCAGCTGATGAAGGGCCCTGGAGACGTGTTGTCCTCCTGAACACTTCTGGTGAGAACCTGGTTTCCTTTTCCTCTGGACAGGCTGCCAGAGCTGCTGTGGCCACCATCACGGTGGAAGGTGGGGGACCCACCCTGAAGATGGGATGGCAAGCGAGTACACAACGAGCAACAGGTTTTTTTCAGCATCATAGAACCCCCGAGCTCCCCCAGTAGCTGCCCTGCTTGGTGATGTAGGCCAGCCACCTTTATTCTGTTTTAGTCAGTGGCCACTGAGCTTTCCACCCTCACAGCTCCCACTCTCATCTCTACTCGACACACCAACGGGCCTAACTTGCTATTTCATCAGTTGTTCTCTAACTTACTCATCCTGCCCCCTGCAAAGGGCACCTACGTGCAACCCAGGCTGACCAATGGCAGTGCATGCCCAGTACCCTCATCTGCACCTCCGCATAGCTGCCAAGGTGTATATAGCTGCACTATCAGCAGGATGGCACATGCTCTCAGTGCCCACAGCAGAGCCCAGCAGCCCTGGGTGCCGGGCCCACGCGGTCTCCTGACCTCACTGTCAATCCTACCATGGTGTCAAACACCATGTCATTTCTGCCACACTGGGGGACTAAGCTGTGTGTGTGTGTGTGTGTTAAAAGTCATGAGTGACACTGAGAATATTTCCATCTGTTTAAAAGCTATATGGTTTTTCTGAGACTCTGTGAACCTAAAATGTTTCTTTTTAGACAAGACATTAAAAGACATAGCTGACAATAAAAGAAGATAACATGGAGCTAATCTAGTATATAACACGTGCGTTCACATGCACACATGTGCCCACTGATGAGACTCAAACTGAAGGACCTGGAGATGGCCTGAAGGGTCAGGCTGGGCTCAGGGTGCTGCACTGGGCTGGCAAATGCAAGGCCCTGGGCCCACCCCCAAATGCACACGCCTTGGGAGGAGGCTTGCCTGAGTGCAGGAGTTTAAGGTCAGCCAAGTAAAGGGCTGTGGAAGGGGAAGAGTTTTCAACTCTTGAGAAAGCACACCCTTGATTGGTACAGCGAAGGTGTCCTTAGCTGGGCTCTGCAGCCTAATCTGGTCTCTGGCCACCATCAGCAGAGGCCACTGTATCAACATCCCTACCCCTGAGCCACCTGTCAGGAGCTACCCAGGCGAGGTCTGTCTGGTCACAGAAAGCAAGAACACCTTCTGGAAGCCTCGAGCAGTATTCCCAAGTGGCTCTAGCATCAGGCAGAGAGCTGTGGACAGAGCAAAACCAGAGAGCGCCTCACCTCGGGGGCCTAGCCAGGCCCTGAAATAGGTACTGAGCGACGCATCGAAATTTTCCATTTTAAAACCTGTCAGGAAAGAAGGACATTGGTTACTTTCTACTCAGTGCTTTTACACAGAATTTTTATAACATAACAATTCTTTTCACAGAATACGCGATAGACAGATTCCATTCTTCACCTTAAAAATAACATTAAGCCCTCAAAGTAACTTATGTGCCAGTTCTGATTTGAAAACCAGAAGGAAAGACACAAGCCTGTGAGCTCACTCTACAAATGAAGCACCAGTCTTCTCACTTCTGTTCTCAGTTCCCTTACAGCTCCTCCTGGGAAACCGCAGCACAGGAGTGGCTAAGGGGGTGGCAGCCAGGTTGGAGGAGGAGCCTGGTGGGCGAGCACCAGTGGCAGTGAGGGTGGCGCCCTCACTGCAGCTGTCAAACAGGGGAGGGCAGGCAGTTCTTCCCTCCCTGTGCCCCAGCCAGCTCCTGTTCGAGGAGACCACGGGCAGTGCTTCCAAAGATGCTTCCTCTTTTGCCCATGGAAATGTCATGTTGAATGGGTGTTTTTATAATTCTGGGTTGCAAAACATTAGTAAATGATCAAGTAGACTTCATATTAAAGCTGGAATTCACTGACTGTAACAGAGAACCAAATTGCTTTACCGTTTAGTGAGGATATTTCCTAAACTTGTTTTATTATATCGCATTTATGATACACTTGGGTGTGACATAAAACATCCTTACTGTACGATCGTTATAAAAATTCAGAAAAGTACAGTTGCAGATAGAAGTACACAGACTACTTACTTGCTTCCCTTAACAGAATGTCTTGGAGGCAGTTGTTACATTTACCCCACATCCTCACTTTCTACAGCTCCTCATACTCATTCTCCATTTAAGTCAGACTTACAGCTAATGGGCAGTGAAGCATTTTTCCCATGTGTGTTGCCAGAACTTTTCATTACTAAAGCTGAGAGGCACGCTTACAGAAATAGCCATCGATACTTTTATTTGCGGGTAAAGACAAAGGTCAGTGTGAACCGCCTGGTGGCCTTCCCCCCCTGAAGCACTTGCATTCTCCTCCTGACTTCAGGGTGAAGCACTCGCCTCAGCCCTGCTCTCCTACAGTCCCCTGGTCGGGAGCTGGGGACGGGACAGCCGCAGTGCACGTGGCTGGGACTGTGTCCCCACAGGCACTCCTATGCCAGGCCCCCCAGAGGGTACCAACACCCCTGTCTGTGGCAGAAACTGAGAAAGCAGCAGCTCCTTGGTCACGCGGTCCCTCACAGCTGCCCAGTCTTGGCCCCAGGTCATGTGTGAGATAAAGTCTGTGGCCACCGGACTGAATAACTGAGGGCGAGCTGTTCCTCACCGACAGTTTACCTTCCCCAACACATCTTACATCTCACTCTTATTACCTAATGGGCAATTCTCACTAACTTAACAATGGGCCACACCAAATGTGTAACAATCAGGTGTTAAGCTTGCAGGTACTTTTGCAGGCATAAAGGTATCACTTGGGCTGGCAGAGTAGCTCTGTGTTGAGGTCTTCAGAAGACAGCTAGGGTCTGAAACTCCCCCACTCAAACAATGTGCCTTTGACAAGTGTTATGGTTTAAGAACTGGTGGTCAACTTAACGCCAGCTGGATTATATCAGCATGGCATTGAGTGAAGACACTCCACCTGAGGAAAGTTGCCAGGCTAAATAGGTGGAGAAGATGGGAGAAATAGAGGGTTGAGGCGTTAAGGAGGCATTGTGGGTTCTCCTACGAGTTGCTGTCTGAGCTGTTGGTTCTCCTGGAAAAGCCTTGGTCCTCACATTGAGCATTGCTTCCTGGCTCGAGAGGGGAAGACATGTGCCGCTTGGTCTCCGGGATGAACTCAGCACACTGCTTCCTGGCATGTACCTGTGCTTGTCGTCGGAGGAGCTCAGGTGGCCTCCGTGTTGCTGAGGACAGCTGTGGTTCCTTTCAGGATAGTCCTGGTCTTTGTTGTGAGTGTGACTTCTCAGCTCCAGCGTAGAACCCTCATCCCACTAACACAGCTCCTTCATCCTGCTGGCACAGACTTTCTGGCTTCCACGGCTGACCCTTGGGTCTTCCCGGCACGGATCCGTAAAAGAGACTGCCGTGAGTCCTTCTTGTGGGCTCTGGACCTCCAGTTGGACTCGTGGGAGTCATTGTCCTGAGCTCTGGGTTTTTATCTGGACTCATGTGGGACATTACTGTGGGGTTTAGGCTCTTGACTAAATAATCTATGTCTCTGGTGTTGCGGATAGATTTCCTGCATTTTCCTGTGTTAACTTCAGGTGACCACTATAAAAATATTATAAACTCCGTGTCCTAACCCTAGTTGTTCTCTGTGTACAACCCCTGACTACAAGTTATTTAACCTCCCCTCTTGTAAAATGGGCAAAAGAGTAGAGCATCTGCTCCTCAGCTTAAGAAAATGCAGTGGTGTACTGCACCCTAGGCCTTCCGCAGTGTCTTGCTGCAGTAAGCCTCGGCTCTTCCCACTGGCATCTGCCTGAGGACCAGCTCCAGCGTGACACATCAGGCAGGACTCCAGGGCGCTGCTGCCGCCCCCCCTTATCGAAGCCATCTTTGTTCTGAGTACCCTGGACTGTTAACCTAGGCCTGCTCCCTGTCCACCAAATGCCACCAAGGAGCTCCCAGTCACTGTGACAACCCACAGTCTCCAGGTTTAAGTCTCAACAGCAATAGGAGGTAAGGGAGCTGCAGGTGTCCCAGGGCAGCACACCACCAGAAGACACACATCTAAAGGTAAAAGGTATTAGAATGAGTGCATTAATTAGATTTATCAGTGTCGAGCACCTATGGTTTGATTGCCAAACAAGGAAAACACAAAGGAGCAGACCTGCCACGAAGAACAAGTGAGACACTCAGGAAGAGCGAGACACAGTAAATGGGAAACAGAGCTAGTGTGCAAACAAGAGGAGGTGGATACGTGTGAACATACGCTGCCAATGAAGGTCTAAACCAAGCTGTAAGAATAAACTCTAACAGTGTTTTGGGCCCTGACCCAAGGAATATACCTAACAGAAACAATAAACAATAAAGGAATTCTACTTCTGAAATAATGGCCTTTTAAGAGCTGTTCTGAGTTTTAGTACTTATAGCAACAGGCTGGGAACAAGTGAGGAGATATTTAAAAATTAAAGAATGCAGGCTGGCTTGGGTTGAATGGAGCATTAGTGTACTGGGAGAAAAATAAGGCCCTGGAATTTCTAAAAATGCTCCATTCTTAAAAGGATGACGACACAGGACAGAGTTGGAGAATGTAGGTTAGCACCATGGCATGGCATGCAGCAAACAGCTTGATTACACAGAAGTAAAATTTCAGTCCAAGAGTCCCAAACCCAGCAGCAGGCTACCAAAGAAGCGGTGGAAGTCAGGTTCCGGAGCACTGACAAGCCCTTCACAAGCCAAGAAATGAAGTCTAAGCCTATCTGGAGTCAGGTCCGGAGGAAGCACTCTTTTGTCTATATAAATTCAGTATCTCTGCTACAAAAATACACAAAAGGGGTGATTTTGCCAGGAATGACACAGCTCCTCTTAAACTGCATCTCTTCTCAACTTGAGAATTCTTCTCTTGGGGCTGCAGAACTCTTCACAAATGTTAGGCAACATATTAAATGTACTGAAAAAGCAGAAAGTCTTTAAAGGAACACACATGTGGAAAACAACCATAATGATTTCAAAGGGCTGCCTGCTGTGCCTCAAAGCCTATGAAGGGAAGGGAGAGAGAAGGTGTCCTCCAAGGATCCTCCCTGCCATGACGAAGGCTGGAGGGCTGTGCCAGAACGCCCAGGAGGGTGGCAAGTGGGCGGCATTGAGAGAGAAAGGCCTGGGCCAGGGGGGGCGGTGCTGTGCTCCACTCCGGCTCAGCCCAGGCTCCCTCAGCAAAGCACAGCAGAGGGTGAGCCCCTGCGGCTCCGGCCTTGTGGCTGCACCGCTCACTTTCCATAAGTCAGGCCTGCTGGCACCAAGACAGAGCACCCGGTTCTTCCCCACCAGGAGGCCTTCCAGAGTCGCAGGCACACAGGCCTCCAAGTGCACGAGCATCCCACAGCTGTTCCTTGTTTAACAGACAGCATAGGGAGGTACACTGAACAGGTTTTCAAGGATTCCCCTTTTCAAGCACATTTCTCGACACACATGGTGAACTGACTTTCTACTGTAAAATCTTGGCAGGTTTCTGGCATCTCATTTTAGCATCTCATTCTGAAAAACTGACTGAGGCTGGGAACTCCCTTCATAAATCACCCTGTGTTTAAACAGGCCACCAAAAGCAAAGTGTGAGTGGGCGCTGCACACCATGGAACCCCCGTGTGTTAGCTCTGTGGTCCCCCGCCCAGTCCTGCCAAGGTACCATGTTTTAGGGTCTGGGGATACTCAGGCCTCAATCTGAGAGAAACTACCCCAGCATAGAATACATAGACACCTGGAAATGCTGAACACAAAAGGGCAAAACCCAAATTCCACAGAGATTTGCTTCCTCCAAGGACAAAATACACCCCACTGAATCATGGGAGGTTAAACAAACAGCAGCATCTGCAAGAGGAAGCACGTCTGAAAACTGACACCACAGTAAGCTGTACCCTCCCAGCCACTCCACAGGGCTTTCTGCTGGGGTCGACAGAGGACATGAGGCAGGACAGCTGCTGCCGCCACAATTCCTGAAGGGTCTGAGGCCGGACTGAGGGCGCATGCCTGTAACCCAGCAGTCAGGAGGCTGAGTCGGGGGATCACAAATTCGAGGACAGCCTAGGTACCTGAGCAAGACCCTGCCCCCCCCTACCAAGAGTGTTTCTCCATGAGGGTGCAAGTGCTAACTCTGTGTCCTTTCTAATGGGTAGAGGAAAAACACAAGAAAGTACTCAGCAAATGAAAAATACTAGGACCTTAACACACCTAGGACCTAAACAGACGTCAAGATTTTAAAATATATATATGAACTGGGCACACTGGCACAAACTTAATACCACCGGGAGCTGCATACAGGTCACAGCAAGGACAGCAGACTTCCTCAGGCTGGAACTAGTCCAC